TCTTTTTTCCATTGTATATCCTTGCCTCCTTTGTCAAAGATAAGGTGACCATAGGTTCGTGGATTTATCTCTGGGCTTTCTATTCTGTTCCATTGATCTATATTTCTGTCTTTGTGCCAGTACCATACTGTCTTGATGACTGTGGCTTTGTAGTATAGTTATTGAGACTTTTTTATGACTCACAGCATGCTCCATCTTTTTAAATGTTCCTTGTGCATTTTAAAATAACTATATATCCTTCTATTGGGGAATACAACTTTCTGTAAGTATCAGACTAAGTTGATAGTGGTTTTTTTAAAATATGAATTTATTTGGCTGTGTTGGGTCTTAGTTGCTGCACCTGGGATCTGCGTGCATTGGGCAGGATCTTTTCTTCCTGTGCATGGGCTCTCTAGCTGTGGCCCACGGGTCTCTAGTTGTGGCACCCAGGCTCTGGAGTCTGCGGGCTCAGTAGTTTCAGTATGAGGGCTTGGTTGCTCCACAGCATGTGGGATCTCAGTTCCCCGATCAGGGATCTAACCTGCATCTTCTACCTTGCAAGGTGGATTCTTAACCACTGGATTACCAAGGAAGTCCTTAATAGTGTTTAAATCTTCTGTATTCTTTCTGATTTTCAGCCTGTTTGTTCTATAGTTACATTGTTCTAACTATATCTGCCTGATATAGTTCTATCTATATCAACTATTGAAATAAGGATACTGACATCTCAGAGGGCAACTGTGGGTTTGTCTGTTTCTCTCTGCAGTTCTCTTGGGTTTTCTTCGTATACTTTGAAGTTCTGTTATTAGGTGCATGAATGTTTGGCAGTTTTATGTCGTCTTGATTATTTTACCTCTTTATCATTGTCAAATAGTTTTCCTTATTCCTGAAGGTATTCTTTGCTCCAAAATCTACTTTATCGGATATTAATATAGCCAGTCCAACTTTCTTTTGATTAGTGTTAGTATCATATATCTTTTTCCATTGTTCTCCTTTTAACATTCTTACTCCTTTACATTTAAAATGGATTTATTGTAGGCAATATGCAGTTGGATCTTACATTTTTTGTCCAATGTGACAGTTTCTAACTTTTTCTGGGAATATTTAGACCATTTACCTTTAAAATATTTTTTATATGATTGGGTTTAAATCTATTAATTTCTTATCTATCCTATTCCTTGTTCCCTTTTGCTTCTTTTTCTGTCTTCATTTGGTAATATAATACTTTTATAATGCTATTTTCTCTCTTTTATTGGCTTATTAGCTATGATTTTATTTTGTAATTTAGTGATTGCCTTAGGATTTACCATATATTAATACCTTTTTATCAACATCTACCTTAAGTGATATCATACCATTTCACATATGGTATAAGAAACTTATGATGGTATACTAACATTCTCCCCACCCCAATCATTCTATTGTTATCTTAACCTTACTTATACATGCGTTATAAGCCTCACTCTAGAATGTTATTATATTTTCTTGTTTGGGGACCTTGTTTTTCAGGTTTGCTTCGTGGGAGAGTGCACTTCTCTCTAGGCAGAGTGCTCTCTTCTGTGTAGGCTACCCATTACCCTGCTGATCAGGAGTTTTCCCAGTTTCACAGATGGGAACAGGCATTATTCTCGATGCTCTGCTGAGTGGCAGGCACAATTTAGTGCATATGTGTGAGGAAACTAACTGAGGGCAGGGAAATGAGCACCAGCAAGAATTAGGGAGGACAAGGTCTCACCACTCATATAGTGCTGTTTGGGGTGAGTATTGCTGAACTTCCTGGAACTAAGGACGCCAAGGACAAACAGAATCCCTGGGACTGAACATGGGGTGTCTCTTGGTGACAACTGTGAGGCAGTTCTTAATGGTTAATGGCACATACCTCGCTGACGATGGGAGGGAAATGAATTTTTAATTTCACAACCCTTCTCCAGATCCTCTTAGAAGGGAATGTTTGCTCCACCTTTCTACTCCCCTCCTTCATTGAAAACTAAGAAACACCATGATACAAACCTAAGACCTGGAATGAGACTGAGTTATTCCCAAGGCCTGATGGAAGCACAGATGAAGGGAAACTCAGAGCACAAAGCTGATGACCCCATGATGAGCTTATTACTTACAAGTTCTCCATTTTACAGCTCTGCTCTCTCTCTCTCTCTCTCTCTCTCTCTCTCTCTCTCTCTCTCTCTCTCTCTCTCCAGCCAGCTGCCTCACCTCCTCTTTCACTTCCCTCTCCAACAACACCCCTCAAGGGTTCTAAGCAATTGTTCTTGAGCAGTTAATGGCTAGTTTATGTTAAGTTTGCCTCTTAGGACTCCAAGTTCCTCTAGCCCTGCACAAGGCCTTTCTTCCTCTGTTGCAGGACTTTCTGAGCAGAGCAAGGGGAGTGAGTGGCAGGTGCTGCAGCCCGAGGGCCCCATGCTGGTGGCAGAAGGGGAAACACTCCTGCTGAGATGTACAGTAGTCGGCTCCTGCACTGATGACATGATAAAGTGGCTCAAGGTGAGCAACCAGAACCAGCAGGAAATTTACAGCTTCAAGCATGGCTTCTTCCCCGGGGTGATGCCTATGATCCAGAAGATGCTGGAGCCACTTAATTGTGACTATTCCATCTACATCCACAATGTCACCAGGAAACATGTTGGAACCTACCACTGTGTGAGATCTGATGGCTCAAGTGAGTACTCAGGCAAGACGCTGGATGAAGGCACCTCCGTGCTTGTGAAGGGTGAGTATCAGGCCCTGCAGGTCACAACCTTCTGCTCTGATCTATCTCCCTTTACCCGCATCATTCACCTTTACCCACAGCTTTGCAAGCTGTGACTGCAAAACCTCAGTGACATACAGCAATTCATACATCTCACTCACACATTTACAGGCAGCTGGGCTGCATGTCATTCCAGGGCCCAGACTGGCCAGAGTACATATTTCTCATGGAGATAGCAGAAGCATAAGAGGGAAAGTCCCAACACCTTAAGCACATTTCAAGCTTCTATTTGTGTGTCTGCTGCTAATGAAAAACAGCCCATTGGCTAAAGGAAGTCACATGGCTAAGGACAAAGATAAGAGGCAAGGAAGTATACCCAACCATCGTGAGGCCACGGTAAGAGTTTGGGTATGGAACACTATCAGAGGAGACTCAAGAACTGGGGTTGATCATTTAATCCCCAAGTAGCCAGTCATGTCATCTCTAAGTCCACCAGTGGTGACCTGGGCCTGTTATTCAATAGGAATATGTTCTTAACTTAGTCATTCCAGGTCTACATCCTTCAAGTGCCTAATTTGTGAAATAGGCAACATAATTCCTATTTCAAGGGATATTCAAGTGATGAAATAGAAGAATTGATGTTTGTGAAACCTCTGTAAAATGTTGACTTGGAGGGTATCTGTGTCTGTGTGTGTGTCAGGTAGCAGATGAAGGTGGAGGGTTCATTTTATCTTAATGCAAACATTTCAGAAAGCCTTCTCTGACTTCTTCCAAGCTTCTTTTGGTCCTGCAGTCCTCTGGGTTTCCTACTTCAGAAGAATTTTCTGAGCCACCTTCACCACCAGACTGAGAACTCTAGGGCACAGCATTTATGTTTTGCTGAGCTTTCTTTTCCCCACTCCTAGCATCAGCGCATAGTAGGTACTGAGAACTTCTTTACTGAGTGAATCAGCTATTGAACAATGAGGGAATGTGGGAGGGAATAGCTGAGTGAAAAAAACAGGGGAAGGAAAGGGAGGAAATGAGTGGACTGTGGAGGGAGAGAGGGAACAATAAAGTCCTCTCTTTGGCTTTAGGACCTGGGAACACAGGGCCAGACCTCTGGATCATCCAACCCCAGGAACTGGTGTTGGCAACCACTGGAGACACCGTCTTTCTGAATTGCACAGTGCTTGGAGTTGGTCCCCCAGGACCCATCAGGTGGTTTCGGGGGACTGGTCTGAGCCGGGAGGCCATCTACAACTTTAGAGGCATCTCCTACTCCAATGTGACTGCGGTCCAGGCCTCCGAGAATGATTTCAGCATTCTTTTGCATGGCGTCTCCATTGAGCATGCAGGAACTTACTATTGTGTAAAGTTTCAGAGTAAACTCAACAGGCAGTACCTATCCGGACAGGGCACCAGGTTGAGAGTCAAAGGTGAGACAGGTAGTCTAGGAGGTGTTGGGGGACAGAGGGAGGTGGACCACCAGGAAATTTTTACCGTGTCACAAACAAGTTAGCTCTTCTTAGCCTCAAAGTCATTTATATAGGCTATTCCCTCTGCCTGGAATGTTTTCTCCTTTTCTATGGAGAATTTCTACTCATCCTTCAAGGCCCAGCCTAAATAGCCCCTCCTCTGTGAAGTCTTCTCCTTCTCCCAGGCAGAGTCAATTTCTCCCCACTCTGGGCTCCACAGAGCTTTGTATAGACTCTTAATGATTCATCAAACATGCATGTGTGCCTTTGACAGCCACACACTGGGTGCTGCAGATACAGAAATGGAGCAGACATTGTCCCTATTCCAGAGATGCTCAACCAGGTCTGACTAGTTCTTCATAGTTACTGGGCTTGACTTCTAGTCCCTATCCCAAGCAGAAACTCACAGGCTCATCTCCCCAGCTACTAACACAGGGGCTCAGGAAGTGGAGGGATAGAAAGAAAGGAGAGTGTGAGACCATTTTTCTTCCTTGCAGCAAATCACACTTCTCTCAAAGAGTCAGAATTCACCAAGGAACGTACAGCCAAGGTATTTCCATCAGGTGAGTATACCTACCTTCAGTGGCATTAACCAGTCCTCCACAGGTAAGTGGGGCCAGAGAGGGCTTGGCCACGGGAGATGAGCAGCCCCAGACTTCTAGGGCCCTCCTGCCCAAAGATGGTTCCCACGACTCCTCAACTGCCCAAACAGAACCCAGAGAACCAGAGTAAAGTTCAATCAAAGGAAGTACTTTCCAACAGTCAGTGCGAACTGCTCAGTGGGCAGTCTTGCTGCAGGGTCTTGAGCTCCCCCTGATTCAGAGCAAGGACACACGGTGGGGCTGTGCATAACAGAGGTGGAGAGCATGGCTTTGTAGCCAGGCTCCCTGGATTGAGCCCCTTTCTAGCTCTTTGAGTCTCTGGTGAGCCTACCTCACGGGACTATGTACAGATCCAATGGGGCAAGTGCCCAGAACTATGCCTGTCACATCACCTCAAGGGCACTTGATAATTGGGGGGTGAACTTGGAATAGAGGTGACCAAGTTAGCTTCCCAGATGCTTGGCCCTGTTCCTGCTATCTTTGGGAGCCAGACCACTTGGTCCCCTCATTACTTTGACACATGTGGCTCTGAGCAAATCACTCCCCCACTCTGGGTCTGTTTCCTCATCTATATAAATTGGATTGTTATCCTTCTTTGCAAGATTAGTTTGAGGATTATATAAAGCATTTAGGAAGTGCTTAGCTCTGGCCCTGGGACAGAGGAGTTGAGCAGCAAATGATGAAAGACATCTTCTATTGTTATCAGAGGTCAGGGATGCTGTCAAGATGATTAAAGGTACAAGTGGGATATTGGGCCAAGGCTCTTTGAGCCTGGAACAGGAGGAAGGGAGGTCTTTGATCTCTTCAGCTATAGAAGGGATATGGCCCCACAGGCTATAGGCTCAGCTTCACCATACGGGCACTGAGTTGTGGGCTGCTGGGGACTCACCCGGGGCCCTTCTTGAGCTATCCTCTGTGTCCCTCAGGATTCCTGTCTGTCCTCACACTCGCGGTCCTGGGACTGAAAACTGCGACCTTGGCTGCACTCTTGCTGGCCCTGGTTATCTGTTGGAGAAGCTCTTGACAAGAAGACATCAGAACTCCAAGGCCCAGAAGAGGTGTGCTCGTCTTAGCATGGGTCATGGATGACTGGTCCGCCCTAGAGTGGGTCCTCTAAGAGAGGGCCCAGGAATCCCCGATCATTTCTCTGCCTCCCAGCTGCCTTCAAGCCTCATGATGAACTCCAGGATCCTGATTCCTGTTCACCTGGTGGAATTCTCTCTTTGGTACTGGGCTCCCCTCCATTTGCCTTTGTCTCACTGTATTTCACTGTTTGCTGAACCCAGGGTTGACAAGGAGCGAGCTAAGAGGCTGGAAGAAGATGCGAGGAGCCGTAGGAACTGTAGACACGTTTATTCTCTCCTCTTGCGGCTGACCTAGCAGACAAAGCCCTAACGCAGCCTCACTGCCATAATGTTAGCAGCCGCACCATAGCCCCAAGGGCTTTCTCAGGTAGAGTGTATATATGCTTAGAGAACAAATGTAGCCCGTGGCCAAGAGAGTACCTCCTGACATGCATGCTCAGTGCTATGAGTGACTTCAGCTGTTAAGTAATTATCATTTACAAAACATGGGGCAAAAGTGAGAGGATGTGGGGTGAGGGAGCCTGATCCGTCCATCTTCACCAATGTGCTCTTTCCCTACAGCCTTCCTTTCTCTTCTCAGCCTGTTCAAACCCTCCTTGTCTTTTAAGGTCTTGCCCAGGTCTCTCCTTGAGGCCTCTGCTCCTGTTGCAGCCCCTTTTGGAGGGCCCACCCCCTTGCTCCCCACCCCACATTTTCTCTTCCTTCAAGATCCAACTTGAGAGTCCTTCTCAGAAGGCTTCCCCAAGTGACTCTGAGCTGGCCCAGCCAGACAACCTGTGCCCCTCCATCTTTATCCTTTCTTCCTCCTTTTCTTTCTCCTTCTTCACCCTGGCTGGCTTAGGTGGCTATAATAGTTAGAATTCAGGTTTGGCAACTTTGACAAAACCCTTAAATCAGAAGAAAGTAGCTCAAATCAGAAGAAAGTTGGCTCCTCTACTAATACTTGAGCATAAACAGGCCAGGCAATTTGGGGACTCCCTGAGACCCAGGATTCCTTGATCTTGTTGATACCAGGTTCATATCTCAAGCAGAAAGACCAGGGAAGAGGAGAATGACACTTCCCCTCAAGGTCACAGCTAGGAATTTGCCCATATCACCTCTGACTGGTTGGAATGTGGTTACTTGGTCACACCTAGCTGCAAGGAAGGCTGGAAATGTAGTCTTTATTCTAGCAAGAGTGCACCTAGCTAAAATCTGTTACTAGAGAGCCAGAGAGTAAAGCTCAGTAGATGACCAGTGATCTCTACCCCTGTGGTGTAGAGAGAGCTTCTTACTTGCTGTGTGGCACACCTGAGTTCCATTCCCAGGTAAAATGCACCCCTTTGTACCTTTGCCTTCAATAGGGCAGCATAGTGGAGGATAGTAGTTCTAAAGAAAAGGACACTCTGCTGCCCAGGGGATATGTGGCGATGTCTAGAGACATTTTTGATTGTCATAACTTGGGGGAGACTGTTGTCCTCTAATGAGTATAGGTCAAGGATGCTGCTTTTAGCACAGGGCAGACCCCATAGCCAAGAGTTATGTGGCCCAAAGTATCAGTAGAAGTTGAGAAGCCCTGATATAGTGGAAAGCATGCATTCCCTGGAGTCAGACATGCCTGATTTCTAATCCTGAAGCCCCCACTCCCTCCTTGTGCACCATTGGTCACTAATCAGTCATTGCCACTCTTGGAACATGGAGGAAAATAACGCAGACTTCTGCATTGTATAAGAAACAATTCAACTCAGGGCTCACTATGAGCTTTGTGTTCTGCATACTCTCAGTACATGTGAACTCCGTTTTCTCTTTCAACACAAACATTTATTGGCACCTAGGGGCTTTCCCAGTGGCTCAGAGGGTAAAGCGTCTGCCTACAATGCGGGAGACCTGGGTTCAATCCCTGGGTTGGGAAGATCCCCTGGAGAAGGAAATGGCAACCCACTCCAGTATTCTTGCCTGGAAAATCCCATGGACAGAAAGGGTAAAGCATCTGCCTGCAATTCAGGAGACCCGGGTTCAACCCCTGGGTTGGGAAGATCCCCTGGAGAAGGAAATGGCAACCCACTCCAGTATTCTTGCCTGGAAAATCCCATGGACAGAGAAGCCTGGTAGGCTACAGTCCATGGGGTCACAAAGAGTCGGACATGACTGAGCAACTTCACTTTCATTATATCAGGAAATGGATTAGTCTGCATGTTTTTCATTACAACAAACAGAAAAGTTGGTGGAACAACACTAAGCCAACACTAATTTAGCCTGAGTGTTTTGCGCCAGTTTCAGCATACGGATAACCAGTGCTATAGCTGGATCAGCTCTTGTAGTTCTTATCATGAGCGCAAGATGCCCTTCAGCAGTACCCACCAGGGATCTTTGAAGAACTAGAGGTTTATTATTTACAAGACCTGGAAATTACACAGAATTCCTAGGGCCACACTGTGAGGTCACAAGGGAAAAACAAAGAGGGAATACCTGGGGTTCTGTTTCATTGGGGTTGATGAATTTGTGGGCTCACTCTTTATTGGTAAATATAAAAATTAAGAGCAGGAATTTAAAGCTCAGGAAGAAGAAAAGAAATAGTAGCTCAAATGATCAGTTATTGAAATCAACCAAGATCTCTAAAAAAAAGGAAACTCAGTGGGGGAAGATAGCCTGACTATTTAGCCCTGTGACTGGCAGTGTGTTCAGAAATAAGCACATTGAAGGGGATGCCTCTTTGGAATGGATGCCTCAGCAATCAAAACTTAAATCAGATAATAGCATTACAAAAAAAAAAAAGAGGAAAAAGAAAAACTGTGAAGGTTTACACTGCACTGAGAACTGAATAGTTATTGAATTACCAGACATCAGAAGAAAGGGTAGATATAATAAATTAAATAATATCTTCCTACAAAAGATATCCAAGTCTGAATCCCTGGAACCTGTGAATGTTACCTTATGTGACAAAAAGGACTTTGCAGATGTGATTGTGTGTATGTGTCCCATCTCTAAATGGAGCGGTTGTCCTGAATTATCCAAAGTGAAGGTATTAGTCTCTCAGTCATGTCCTACTCTTTGCAACCCAGTGAACTGCAGCTAGTAGCCTGCCAGGCTCCTCTGTCCATGGAATTCTCCAGGCAAGATATACTGAAGTGGATAGCCATTCCCTTCTCCACGGGATCTTCCTGACCCAGGAATTGAAGCCAGGTCTCCTGCATTGCAGGTAGCTTCTTTATCATCTGGGTCACAGGGAAGCCCTTTATTATCCAGGTGGGCCCTAAATGCAATCACAAGTGTCTTGATGAGGGAGAGACAGAGGGAGAATCCACACAGAACAGGAATTTTCAGAACAGGAGGAGAAAGCAATGAGACCACAAAGGCAGAATGGAAGTGTAAAAAATGCTGGCAGCCACAAGCAGCTGGAAGTCACAAGGAGAAGATTCTAACCAGTGTCTCTGGAGGGAGCACAGCCCCCTGACACCTTGACTTCAGCCCAGTGATACTTCAGACTTCTGAGCTCCAGAAGTAGGAGAGAATAAATTTCTGTTGTTTTAATGCCATGAAATTTGTGGTAATGTGTTAAAGCAGCCACAGGAAGCTATTAATAGGGTGGAACTGGGCCTCTGAAGTAACTGGGTGGAGTTCCCTTCTCTGTCCCTGAAAACCTCTTCACCTGTGCTGACTTAAAAAAAAAAAAAGCACAATATGAGAGTCGTGAGTTAAGTTTTCTTTGGGGCAAAGTGAGGGCTATCACCTGAGAGAGAGAATTTCAGATAGTTCTGAGAAACCACTCTAAAGAGGTAGGGGAAGGTGAGCATATATGTGATTTTGGCCAAGGGGGAGTAATGCAATCAAGCACATATTTTTGGCAGAAGGTTTCTGTTCGTCTCACGAAGGTTACTACTAGTCACAAGAAGCAGACATGATCATGAGGATTTTAGTGTTTTTCTAGATATGAGGAGACTTGAGAACTGGCCTCACAAAATCAGCTCCTGAAAATAATGTCTGAAAACCTGTTCTGCCAGTTTTTTCTGGAGCAAAGAGCACCTCATTTCGGCTCTCCACTCTGAACAGCTCCTCTCAGTGGGGGTTGAAAATCAGCAGCCGCAGCAGCACGTGACTTAATCCTTGTAGAGAGAGAGGGCAAGTACCCATGGCAAGGGCCAATTTGTAGTTGACACCAGACAGGGTCCTGCGTGGTCTGGTCCCTGAAAGCACCGCCCCCACCCCCGTCTTATCCCCCACTTCCAACACCCTTTAAATTGACTCCCTGTCACCCACCTGGGCCTTGGCTACACACGTTCCCTAATTCAGGCAAGTCCGCTTAGTTGTTTCTTCAAGAGGCCTCCGTAGATCAGCTCATCCACGACAGCATTGTCTTCCTTCTCATTTCCCATTTGCAGCATAAGTTTCCTGCACAACACTTACTGCTACACATAAACGTGAGTGTGTGTGTGTATTCATTTCCTTGATGATTATTAGTTGTTTACTAGTGAATTTGAGTGGGCTTTCCAAGTGGCTCAGTAATGAAGACTCCGCCTGCCAATGCAGGAGACATAAGAGACGCAGTTTCGATCCCAGGGTGAGGAAGATCTCCTGGAGGAGGGCATGACAACCCATTCCAATATTCTTGCCTAGAAAATCCCATGAACAGAGGAGCCTGGCAAGGCTACAGTCCATGGGGTCACAAAGAGTCGGACATGACTGAGCCACTGAGCACTCATACAGTGTATTTGAGTTCACCAAGGTCGGGAACCTAACTTTTCACTATTGTGGCCTCTTTCATTCATTCATAAAAAGTAGTTGAAGGCTGATAATGTGCCAGGCAGGTGGTCGAAGGCAGAATCAGAGTGGGACTGGGATGAAGTCAGGATGGGGAACCAAAGTGGAGATGAAACTGGAGGGGGGCTGGGGGTGAGGGGGGAAGTGGGCTTTGGAGGGTAGGGGTACATGTGGTACTGGGAGTGGGGGTAGGGGAGAAAAGGGTGGGGCTGGGTGGGTCAGGAGCTGGTGGTGGTGGATCTTCAAGGTAGGGATGAGTCTGGAGGTGGTAGTCATGGTAGGACTTGGGGATAGGGGCAGGGCAGGGGAAGGAGGGTGGGGGAAGGGCCTGGAAGTTGGAAGGGGGCAAGGCCTTCAGCACCACCCCTACTAGGCCTTGTTAAGTATATTTAGATAAATGTTATAAAAATGTATCAATAGTTTCAACTTCACACTCTAATGAGCCCTTCTAATCAAATTCTGATTCTAAACACCTTCAGTCAGATTGCTGGAACTGCCTCCAGAAACTAGCCATGGAAGTACAGTCCTACTGGCCAAATAGATACAGGGTGGTATAGTGGTTAGGAGCACAGCATCTGAGATGCCTGGGTTCAAACTTACTTAGGAATCTGCATTCCTGGTCTTGAAGTCCTAAGACATAACTCTCAGCTCTTAGGGTGTGCTTTTGTTTTC